CGTTAGTGCCAGGTGTAAGTCTCACATTAGGTCCTTAGTGCCAGGTGTAAGTCTTATGTTAGGTCGTTAGTGCCAGGTGTAAGTCTCACATTAGGTCGTTAGTGCTAGGTGTAAGTCTCACATTAGGTCCTTAGTGCCAGGTGTAAGTCTCACATTAGGTCGTTAGTGCCAGGTGTAAGTCTCACATTAGGTCGTTAGTGCCAGGTGTAAGTCTTATGTTAGGTCCTTAGTGCCAGGTGTAAGTCTCACATTAGGTCGTTAGTGCTAGGTGTAAGTCTCACATTAGGTCCTTAGTGCCAGGTGTAAGTCTCACATTAGGTCGTTAGTGCCAGGTGTAAGTCTCACATTAGGTCATTGATGCTAGGTGTAAGTCTCACATTAGGTCGTTAGTGCCAGGTGTAAGTCTCACATTAGGTCCTTAGTGCCAGGTGTAAGTCTTATGTTAGGTCGTTAGTGCCAGGTGTAAGTCTCACATTAGGTCCTTAGTGCCAGGTGTAAGTCTCACATTAGGTCCTTAGTGCCAGGTGTAAGTCTCACATTAGGTCCTTAGTGCCAGGTGTAAGTCTCACATTAGGTCGTTAGTGCCAGGTGTAAGTCTTATGTTAGGTCCTTAGTGCCAGGTGTAAGTCTCACATTAGGTCGTTAGTGCCAGGTGTAAGTCTCACATTAGGTCCTTAGTGCCAGGTGTAAGTCTCACATTAGGTCCTTAGTGCCAGGTGTAAGTCTCACATTAGGTCCTTAGTGCCAGGTGTAAGTCTCACATTAGGTCGTTAGTGCCAGGTGTAAGTCTCACATTAGGTCCTTAGTGCCAGGTGTAAGTCTCACATTAGGTCCTTAGTGCCAGGTGTAAGTCTTATGTTAGGTCCTTAGTGCCAGGTGTAAGTCTTATGTTAGGTCCTTAGTGCCAGGTGTAAGTCTCACATTAGGTCGTTAGTGCCAGGTGTAAGTCTCACATTAGGTCCTTAGTGCCAGGTGTAAGTCTCACATTAGGTCCTTAGTGCCAGGTGTAAGTCTCACATTAGGTCCTTAGTGCCAGGTGTAAGTCTCACATTAGGTCCTTAGTGCCAGGTGTAAGTCTTATGTTAGGTCCTTAGTGCCAGGTGTAAGTCTTATGTTAGGTCGTTAGTGCCAGGTGTAAGTCTCACATTAGGTCCTTAGTGCCAGGTGTAAGTCTCACATTAGGTCCCTAGTGCCAGGTGTAAGTCTCACATTAGGTCCTTAGTGCCAGGTGTAAGTCTCACATTAGGTCCTTAGTGCCAGGTGTAAGTCTCACATTAGGTCGTTAGTGCCAGGTGTAAGTCTCACATTAGGTCCTTAGTGCCAGGTGTAAGTCTCACATTAGGTCCTTAGTGCCAGGTGTAAGTCTCACATTAGGTCCTTAGTGCCAGGTGTAAGTCTCACATTAGGTCCTTAGTGCCAGGTGTAAGTCTCACATTAGGTCCTTAGTGCCAGGTGTAAGTCTCACATTAGGTCCTTAGTGCCAGGTGTAAGTCTCACATTAGGTCGTTAGTGCCAGGTGTAAGTCTTATGTTAGGTCCTTAGTGCCAGGTGTAAGTCTCACATTAGGTCCTTAGTGCCAGGTGTAAGTCTCACATTAGGTCCTTAGTGCCAGGTGTAAGTCTCACATTAGGTCGTTAGTGCCAGGTGTAAGTCTCACATTAGGTCCTTAGTGCCAGGTGTAAGTCTTATGTTAGGTCGTTAGTGCCAGGTGTAAGTCTTATGTTAGGTCCTTAGTGCCAGGTGTAAGTCTCACATTAGGTCGTTAGTGCCAGGTGTAAGTCTCACATTAGGTCCTTAGTGCCAGGTGTAAGTCTTATGTTAGGTCCTTAGTGCCAGGTGTAAGTCTTATGTTAGGTCGTTAGTGCCAGGTGTAAGTCTCACATTAGGTCCTTAGTGCCAGGTGTAAGTCTCACATTAGGTCCTTAGTGCCAGGTGTAAGTCTCACATTAGGTCCTTAGTGCCAGGTGTAAGTCTCACATTAGGTCCTTAGTGCCAGGTGTAAGTCTCACATTAGGTCCTTAGTGCCAGGTGTAAGTCTCACATTAGGTCCTTAGTGCCAGGTGTAAGTCTCACATTAGGTCCTTAGTGCCAGGTGTAAGTCTCACATTAGGTCGTTAGTGCCAGGTGTAAGTCTCACATTAGGTCCTTAGTGCCAGGTGTAAGTCTTATGTTAGGTCGTTAGTGCCAGGTGTAAGTCTCACATTAGGTCCTTAGTGCCAGGTGTAAGTCTCACATTAGGTCCTTAGTGCCAGGTGTAAGTCTCACATTAGGTCCTTAGTGCCAGGTGTAAGTCTCACATTAGGTCGTTAGTGCTAGGTGTAAGTCTCACATTAGGTCCTTAGTGCTAGGTGTAAGTCTCACATTAGGTCCTTAGTGCCAGGTGTAAGTCTTATGTTAGGTCGTTAGTGCCAGGTGTAAGTCTCACATTAGGTCGTTAGTGCCAGGTGTAAGTCTCACATTAGGTCCTTAGTGCCAGGTGTAAGTCTTATGTTAGGTCGTTAGTGCCAGGTGTAAGTCTCACATTAGGTCGTTAGTGCTAGGTGTAAGTCTCACATTAGGTCCTTAGTGCCAGGTGTAAGTCTCACATTAGGTCGTTAGTGCCAGGTGTAAGTCTCACATTAGGTCGTTAGTGCCAGGTGTAAGTCTTATGTTAGGTCCTTAGTGCCAGGTGTAAGTCTCACATTAGGTCGTTAGTGCTAGGTGTAAGTCTCACATTAGGTCCTTAGTGCCAGGTGTAAGTCTCACATTAGGTCGTTAGTGCCAGGTGTAAGTCTCACATTAGGTCATTGATGCTAGGTGTAAGTCTCACATTAGGTCCTTAGTGCCAGGTGTAAGTCTCACATTAGGTCGTTAGTGCCAGGTGTAAGTCTCACATTAGGTCCTTAGTGCCAGGTGTAAGTCTTATGTTAGGTCGTTAGTGCCAGGTGTAAGTCTCACATTAGGTCCTTATTGCCAGGTGTAAGTCTCACATTAGGTCGTTAGTGCCAGGTGTAAGTCTCACATTAGGTCCTTAGTGCCAGGTGTAAGTCTCACATTAGGTCCTTAGTGCCAGGTGTAAGTCTCACATTAGGTCCTTAGTGCCAGGTGTAAGTCTCACATTAGGTCCTTAGTGCCAGGTGTAAGTCTTATGTTAGGTCGTTAGTGCCAGGTGTAAGTCTCACATTAGGTCCTTAGTGCCAGGTGTAAGTCTCACATTAGGTCCTTAGTGCCAGGTGTAAGTCTCACATTAGGTCCTTAGTGCCAGGTGTAAGTCTTATGTTAGGTCCTTAGTGCCAGGTGTAAGTCTCACATTAGGTCCCTAGTGCCAGGTGTAAGTCTCACATTAGGTCCTTAGTGCCAGGTGTAAGTCTCACATTAGGTCCTTAGTGCCAGGTGTAAGTCTCACATTAGGTCCTTAGTGCCAGGTGTAAGTCTCACATTAGGTCGTTAGTGCCAGGTGTAAGTCTCACATTAGGTCCTTAGTGCCAGGTGTAAGTCTCACATTAGGTCCTTAGTGCCAGGTGTAAGTCTCACATTAGGTCCTTAGTGCCAGGTGTAAGTCTTATGTTAGGTCCTTAGTGCCAGGTGTAAGTCTTATGTTAGGTCGTTAGTGCCAGGTGTAAGTCTCACATTAGGTCCTTAGTGCCAGGTGTAAGTCTCACATTAGGTCCTTAGTGCCAGGTGTAAGTCTCATATTAGGTCCTTAGTGCCAGGTGTAAGTCTTATGTTAGGTCGTTAGTGCCAGGTGTAAGTCTCACATTAGGTCCTTAGTGCCAGGTGTAAGTCTCACATTAGGTCGTTAGTGCCAGGTGTAAGTCTCACATTAGGTCCTTAGTGCCAGGTGTAAGTCTTATGTTAGGTCCTTAGTGCCAGGTGTAAGTCTTATGTTAGGTCCTTAGTGCCAGGTGTAAGTCTCACATTAGGTCCTTAGTGCCAGGTGTAAGTCTCACATTAGGTCCTTAGTGCCAGGTGTAAGTCTCACATTAGGTCCTTAGTGCCAGGTGTAAGTCTCACATTAGGTCCTTAGTGCCAGGTGTAAGTCTTATGTTAGGTCCTTAGTGCCAGGTGTAAGTCTCACATTAGGTCGTTAGTGCCAGGTGTAAGTCTCACATTAGGTCGTTAGTGCCAGGTGTAAGTCTCACATTAGGTCCTTAGTGCCAGGTGTAAGTCTCACATTAGGTCCTTAGTGCCAGGTGTAAGTCTTATGTTAGGTCGTTAGTGCCAGGTGTAAGTCTCACATTAGGTCCTTAGTGCCAGGTGTAAGTCTCACATTAGGTCATTGATGCCAGGTGTAAGTCTTATGTTAGGTCCTAAGTGCCAGGTGTAAGTCTTATGTTAGGTCCTTAGTGCCAGGTGTAAGTCTTATGTTAGGTCGTTAGTGCCAGGTGTAAGTCTCACATTAGGTCCTTAGTGCCAGGTGTAAGTCTCACATTAGGTCATTGATGCCAGGTGTAAGTCTCACATTAGGTCCTTAGTGCCAGGTGTAAGTCTCACATTAGGTCGTTAGTGCCAGGTGTAAGTCTCACATTAGGTCCTTAGTGCTAGGTGTAAGTCTCACATTAGGTCGTTAGTGCCAGGTGTAAGTCTCACATTAGGTCCTTAGTGCTAGGTGTAAGTCTCACATTAGGTCGTTAGTGCCAGGTGTAAGTCTCACATTAGGTCCTTAGTGCCAGGTGTAAGTCTTATGTTAGGTCCTTAGTGCCAGGTGTAAGTCTCACATTAGGTCCTTAGTGCCAGGTGTAAGTCTCACATTAGGTCATTGATGCCAGGTGTAAGTCTTATGTTAGGTCGTTAGTGCCAGGTGTAAGTCTCACATTAGGTCCTTAGTGCCAGGTGTAAGTCTCACATTAGGTCCTTAGTGCTAGGTGTAAGTCTCACATTAGGTCCTTAGTGCTAGGTGTAAGTCTTATGTTAGGTCGTTAGTGCCAGGTGTAAGTCTTATGTTAGGTCATTACGGCTGGCACCTCATAAAGCAGGTTGTGTACGACATGACTGATGCCAGGGTCTCCTCTGTCTCCCAGTGCCAAACGTGAGTTTTGAGGTGTACTCGCCAAGTTTCCTGGAGAAGTTTCTAGAGAGCCACGCCGTCATGACCCAGGGCAACAGTGGACTCAAGCCTAAGGAGGGGGAGATGACCTCACGACCTTGGCAGTGGCCTATAGACTACAGGGTACTCTTCTCATGTGTGCGAGCTAGTTGTCTGGGGGAGGTTTGAGGTGCTTGTCTTGGGGAGATGGGAGGGTTGGGAGGTGCTTTCTGTGGAGATGGGAGGGGTGGGAGGTGCTTGTCTGTGAGGGGTGGGAGGTGCTTTCTGGGAGGGGGTGGGAGGTGCTTGTCTAATGTGTCTGTGAGGGGTGGGAGGTGCTTGTCTGGGGGAGGTGGGAGGTGCTTTCTGAGATGGGTGGGGGACGCTTGTCTAAGAGGTTGTTGAGCCATCATCTCGCCCCCCAGGGTCAGGTGTTCTCTGGCCAGGACCACAGGATCTACATGCTGGGCAACCCTGTCATCTTCTGGTTCCTGCTGGGGGTCAAGGCTGTGTTTATCATCATCTGGGTTTCCTTTTCTGTCTGTGTCAAGCGCAAGTTCTCCATCAACCCAAATCTCAAAGGTAAACTTTCTTAGCTGTAGGTTGGCTGAAATTTGTTTGTTAGCTGGGCCCATAGATCTGTTTAATTTGTTGTATGTTATTTTCCCAGTTTACTGCCAGCGTACACTAAAAGTCTGCTGGTGGCTGCTGATTGGCTGGTTCCTACACTACGCACCTTTTTGGGGCATGACACGAGTCCTGTATTTCCATCATTACTTCCCAGCATTCCTCTACAGTGCCATGTTTGGAGGTCAGTGCTTTGTGTGAGAAAGTTTGGAGGTCAGTGCTTTGTGTGAGAAAGTTTGGAGGTCAGTGCTTTGTGTGAGAAAGTTTGGAGGTCAGTGCTTTGTGTGAGAATGTACAAGACAGGTGGTTAACCCATTGTTTGTACCTGCGCCAGGTGTGATGCTAGACTTCCTCATCACGCTGCTGTGTGTGTGTGTGTCTGACAACTTGGCCATGAGAATCTTCCATTGGTGTCTGGTCCTCATCGCGGCCTTCATCTTGTGGAGGTAAGCAACTTATGCTCTAAGTCTGCTACATCTAACGCTGCCTTCATCTTGTGGAGGTAAGCAACTTATGCTCTAAGTCTGCTACATCTTGTGGAGGTAAGCAACTTATGCTCTAAGTCTGCTACATCTAACGCTGCCTTCATCTTGTGGAGGTAAGCAACTTATGCTCTAAGTCTGCTACATCTTGTGGAGGTAAGCAACTTATGCTCTAAGTCTGCTACATCTTGTGGAGGTAAGCAACTTATGCTCTAAGTCTGCTACATCTAACGCTGCCTTCATCTTGTGGAGGTAAGCAACTTATGCTCTAAGTCTGCTACATCTTGTGGAGGTAAGCAACTTATGCTCTAAGTCTGCTACATCTAACGCTGCCTTCATCTTGTGGAGGTAAGCAACTTATGCTCTAAGTCTGCTACATCTTGTGGAGGTAAGCAACTTATGCTCTAAGTCTGCTACATCTTGTGGAGGTAAGCAACTTATGCTCTAAGTCTGCTACATCTTGTGGAGATAAGCAACTTATGCTCTAAGTCTGCTACATCTAACGCTGCCTTCATCTTGTGGAGGTAAGCAACTTATGCTCTAAGTCTGCTACATCTAACGCTGCCTTCATCTTGTGGAGGTAAGCAACTTATGCTCTAAGTCTGCTACATCTAACGCTGCCTTCATCTTGTGGATGTAAGCAACTTATGCTCTAAGTCTGCTACATCTTGTGGAGGTAAGCAACTTATGCTCTAAGTCTGCTTCATCTTGTGGAGGTAAGCAACTTATGCTCTAAGTCTGCTACATCTTGTGGAGGTAAGCAACTTATGCTCTAAGTCTGCTACATCTTGTGGAGGTAAGCAACTTATGCTCTAAGTCTGCTACATCTTGTGGAGGTAAGCAACTTATGCTCTAAGTCTGCTACATCTTGTGGAGGTAAGCAACTTATGCTCTAAGTCTGCTTCATCTTGTGGAGGTAAGCAACTTATGCTCTAAGTCTGCTACATCTTTTGGAGGTAAGCAACTTATGCTCTAAGTCTGCTACATCTTGTGGAGGTAAGCAACTTATGCTCTAAGTCTGCTACATCTTGTGGAGGTAAGCAACTTATGCTCTAAGTCTGCTACATCTTGTGGAGGTAAGCAACTTATGCTCTAAGTCTGCTACATCTTGTGGAGGTAAGCAACTTATGCTCTAAGTCTGCTACATCTTGTGGAGGTAAGCAACTTATGCTCTAAGTCTGCTACATCTTGTGGAGGTAAGCAACTTATGCTCTAAGTCTGCTACATCTAACGCTGCCTTCATCTTGTGGAGGTAAGCAACTTATGCTCTAAGTCTGCCACATCTAACGCTGCCTTCATCTTGTGGAGGTAAGCAACTTATGCTCTAAGTCTGCCACATCTAACGCTGCCTTCATCTTGTGGAGGTAAGCAACTTATGCTCTAAGTCTGCCAAGTCTAAATGACAATGTCCATGACATGTGCCTACAAATGTCAACTTGTGTTTCAGTTTTTACCTCTTCTACCCCCTGACCTACGGAATGTTTGGACCAATGGCAAGTGAGGAAAACAGCTCCATGCATCGGCTCAAGTGGATGGAATCCTGGGACATTTAGCTGGACGGTGGGAGGGGACATTTAGCTGGACGGTGGGAGGGGACATTTAGCTGGACAAAGGGGGTGGGGGTCCACTTAGGTGGACAGCTGGTTCCTGACATTCCAAATGATGTTAAAGTCAAATCAAACTTTTATTGCCATAGCAGATTGTCCATGTATATTTACTTATAAATATTTATTTGTTTCTCACTGACCCACCTTACTGCTGACTACTTCATTGATTGCATTTATCACTGCTGCACTATATGGCCTAGTTCATGATTTTAATAGCAGATTACTCTCCCCTTGTGTCTGTTTACAAACATGACCATTTACTCCAAGTACCACAAGAGGGTGTGGGCAACCCCCCAGACATGTGTCCTGTAATCTTTCAGCTTTACCCATGATGAAATGTATATAGAGAATCTCCAAATAATTTTAAACACAATTATTTATCTCACAGATTTGTTTAGTATTTGAATCACTGTATGACCAGAGCAGCACAAAATGTACTCAACTGTTCTTGTATCATTTATTCACTATACAAATAAAATGAATGTATTTTTACAGCTAGTGTTGCTTAAATCATGGCAACACAAGCACAGTTGAAGTGATCCAAGATTTCATTTATTTACAGAAACAGCTTATAGTGCCATTAACACATGGATAAAAATACATGACAACTTTCTCTGCCTATTATGGCAAAATGTGGAAAAAGATGGTTAACAAAGTGTGGAAATAGGTAACATAACCTGAGAGTTAACCCCAAGACCCCCCACCCATAAAACATTTCCCCTTGCTTTATTAAATGCCAGATAAAAAAAAAACATGTTATGGTTTAAGGCCTCTCTCAGCCAGACAAGATTCATCCGCTATTTCAAAACAACTTCAAGCATAGAAAACAATGGTAGACAAAAGTGTCCATAAGGCAAATGTGTCCATAGCACACGTGTCATGTTCAACAGCACACACGTGTCATGTGTTCACATCACATGTTACTGGCTGGAGGGAAGCACATCATAAATGGGGCAGTTCCAGAGCCACACCAAAATAAATGTTTAAAATTACCAAAAGAAATAAAAAAAATTACCAAAATAAAAAAAAATGAATATTTGGTTTACCCTGACAGCTAGCAGTAAAAAAAACTTAATGCACAGACCCTGATGAATAAATATACACAGGCAGTAGACTTGAGTGTACCAACAGACAAGACTCACTTGACAACTGACCAAATCAACATTTTAATTGAGCAGAAGACTGGCCAAATAATTATTTTGGCATAAATTCAGCAATGGACTGGCCAAGTAGATAAAACCCAATAATGAAAGGGTTAAAAAAACATCTCTCTGACATGAAAGGGAGGCAAAAGGCAGGAGAGGAATGTATTGGTGACATTAAAAGTAGAACTGGGAGATCATACAGAAACAAATTCTCCATGTCCCAAATAGACAAGAAAAAAATTGAGCAACAAAGTGTGGACCACACTAAGATACCAACACAACACCAGTTGACACTGACTGCATTAAAATACAATGTCACTTTAAAAAATCTCATAAACTATTTCACAAATAAAACTTTGGCATGAATTATTTCCAATCAAATGTCTTTAACAAGTAATGAGTATTATTGGGTGGAAATGAGTGAATCACATTTCCAAAATTTAAGAATCACATTTCCAACATATGGTGGGGGCAATCAGTGGCCTCGGGCAAATGGTAGACACTTGATAGGCTTGGGTCAGGTTAATCCCTGGTGCCTTATTAAACCCTGGTGCCTTATTAATCCCATGACTAGGCACCACTTGCAATAATAATTTCTACTAATAAAGGCTACAACTGTCCGTCCTCACGACTCCTGGAATTCATGTATTCTCTGGCAGCTGTCAGCTTTACAATGTCAACATGTTGGCCATCCTGTCCACTAGCTCCACCACTCTGTCCACTAGCTCCACCATGCTGCTCCACTTGTATTGTGACGTAGTCTGTACTGTCAGAGTTGATGTTGCTGTCATGTACATTGACATCTGCCGTCACCTTCAACTCTGACCTCTTTATTTCCACCATCTTCCTCTTCTCCTTACGGCCCTCTGGTTTAGAACTGTCCACAACATCTTCAGGTGACGCTTTTGGCCGACTTTTTTTCTTGAAGGATTCTGTGTCCAAAATAATTGGCCCAATTCTGTCAGTTTTGGAAGGCATCTGGTCACCAGTGGCCATGGCCAGGATGTTCTGGTGTAGGATGGCCTGGGCCAAGAGTTGCCTCTGATGCTCCACGTTGTACTCCACAAAGCTGGGCAGGCCCTTCCTAACCGTGGTGATCAAGTCCTCTGAGCCGCGGTTGGTCAGGCCCTGCTCCAGGTACAAGCTGTCCGTGTCATCCACCTCGGACATTTTCTTGTGGGGTAACTCAACCTCCTGGTAGGAGATGACGAAGTCGTGGTACAGTCGCAGGCAGGTCACCAGACACAGCACAAACAGGGTCAGGGCAACCAGCCACGAGGAGGCCTGCGACACAAAAACATTTTGGTTTGTTTATACAACAGTGACAGGTTTAAAGTGGGTTACTTTTTCTGAACTCACTCTCCACTTTCATAAAAAGCTTTCTCAACATTGAAAGCTATCACATTTTTCATTATAAAGCTTTTTAATATAGGTACCTAAATTTAAGCATTGAAAAAATAAAAATGATCTGTTACACCTATGCTTTTTATTAAACAAAACAAAATTTATTTTATTTTCAGTGCATTTAAAAGCTTATTATGATAACTGTTATTAAATTTTCCACTTTTTAGTTGTAGATTATGTTGCCAGCACATAGGCTACAGCTGAAAAAAAAAAACTATCAGTACAAGTAGCTGGCTGTCTCTAAACAAGTCATCTGCCACTTGTTTATACATGTGAGCCATGACAATCAGTATACCATTGGAAACATATGTTAATTATGTTGTTACCTCGCCTTTTCTTATTAAAATATGGAAATATTTAAATTAAATTTTATTGACCAATTGTCAACTTAATTAGATTAAAAATTTTTTTCTTGCATTGTCAAAACTGCTGTATTTTTTTGGAAACTGTCACAATATTAGCCACACATTTGAGCTAAATTAAAGCTTATAAAGATACCATAACTCACAGAAATGGATGAGATGCATACTTAAGTTCTAAAATGAAAAAGATAATGAGGTGTGACAATGGGATCCCCCACATACATGGGGGGGGGGGGGGGGGGGGGGGGGGGAACTGAACCAGTGACTGGAGCTTACCTCAGCCAGCATGGTGTAGGTGTAGAAGTTGGTCTTGTCCTTCAGGTTCCAGTTCAAGTCCTGGAATGTCCTGCAGTCAAGGCTGAAAGAGATGGCTGACCTTAACCTTGGTGTGTGGAGGGGAGGCCACTCTTTTTTAAAACCTGAGGCCACTTAAAACTTGTACACAATTTTTTTTTTTTGCTATTTGTTTGTTTTCATCTGACAAAAACAGTTCTACATAATGCTTTGTTAACACTAGAAGGCAGGGGGGGGGGGGGGGGGCTTTAAAACTTTATATTTAGTTATAGCTATTCATAACAATAGTCATTAATGTTTAAGAAAACAAAGAATAAGAAATCCTAATATATAAAAGCCCATGTGCGCACTTCTCTCTCTCTGTCCGCAAAATATTTTCACAGGGTATCAGATCAGTATCTACAGCGATATATGGAGAATTTGATACGGACTTTTGTTGAAAATAATATGTTAGATGTTTTAAATGTATAAACACAATTTTATTTAAAGAAGAAAAATAAAGGCGTATTCGAATGTAGAAAAATAATTTTAATTATGCAACCGGAAAAGTGTTTATAGTTGCGACAGGAACGCATGAAACAATGACGTCACAAGCCAAATGTTTACAGAATAGGGCTATTCGCGTAAGTTAAGTTTCTTAAGTAGGTCTTTTATTTTTCATGATTCATAAGGTGCCTAAATAGCTGAGATGAGAGTGTAATTGATACCATTCGGGTGGTACGGGTTCCAGACACACAAATTCAATCTTAAATTTTTTTTTTCAATGTGTTTTTTTAATATGTTAATGATAAAGTTGCCTATCGAACTTGGTGGGACACGAGCCAGGTGAAGTAGAGTTTACCTGTTTCTGCCTTTTTAGCATATGAAGGGAGAGTGTGGTCAGACCCATTCTCAGCCGAAATAGGTGTTTTTAAAAGACAAAAAGAACATAAATACATTTGAACAGCCGGGTTTTTAAAGAAATCTTTTAAGTCTCTTTATTTTAAGTCTCCTAATCAGTGAGTGCATTTAATATGGTATAGTTACCGATGAAGAAATGAACTATTTCATTTAAATCTATAGATCTATACATAAAAACCTAAAAAAAAATAAATCACTTTAAAAACAAGAAATAATAATCATTAAAAAAGTTTAAAAAAACCCACGTTTTCTGATTGAACTAAAAAGTAGAAAATAAACGCTATACATCACAATAATGCAAGCGATCACTCTACTATAAGCGATGAAAAACGTGGGGCGCCGAAGTAAAAGTTATATTACTATTGATTAGATAATACTATTGACTTTTATTAGGGAGCTTGTAGAGAGTCAACAGTATTAGAAACTGTAAGAAAATCACGGCGCCCCACATTTTTGATCGCTTATAGTAGAGTGATAGCTTGCATTATTGTGATGTATAGCGTTTATTTTCTACTTTTTAGTTCAATCAGAAAACGTGGGTTTTTTAAAACTTTTTTAATGATTATTATTTTCTACTTTTTAGTCTTTGTTTGTTTGCATTAAAATCTTGCTATCGATTTTATCTTTTCACTTTTTTTGGGTAAACGAAGACAACTCGTAAAAAGACAACTCGTAAAAAGACAACTCGTAAAAAACACGTTGTGTTAACACATAGATTTGAACCCGCGTCGAGTGGGATAGCAATCGTGTGCCCAACCACTCGACCATATCGTCTCCCCCAAACTGGCCTACCTCCTGTAACTTTAAACTCGGTTCAAAAACTAAATTATCTGCCCCTAAGCCTGTGGCGATGTGGGATCGTTCGCTTCACTGCGCGCGAGGTACGCGTCGCTCGTTTTTTTTTCTAATGGCTCGCAGAGGAGAATTATATATATAGATTATATAGCGGTCTAAAATGCTCAATAAAATGTTTCCATTGATCAATTTAGTAATAATAACAATTGAATATTCAATGGTCATCCAAAAGAAAGCTTCCCTGAAAATTTCAGCGCGCTAGCTAACTGGGAAGTGCCAGAAATTTCGATCGCAAGATTTGATTGGAAAGACAAACACAGAAACACAGACACAGAGAAAGCAAGTTAAAGAAAACGTGGGAAAATACCATTGAATAGCCGAGTTTTTAACGGAATCATTTAAGTCACTTAATCAGTGTGTGCCTGTGTTATGTTAAATAAGTCTGATTTTTAGCTAATTAGTTATTTCTTTGCTTTGGCACTAATATCGTTCAGCGTATAGTAAAGCACATTGCGTTTTGTCCAATAACTATTTTATAAATTATTTTTCCCACACAAGTACATTTTAAAATATATTGGCCTATAATTCACGTGAAACGGGTACCGATGGCTAGTAAAGTTAGAACTATCGCTGACAGGACATTGAAGTTGGACTGTGACTGTAAGTACACAGTGATCAGTCTGACCTAGATTGGCTGGTCCAGCTGCCAATCTATTTCAGTCCTTTGCTTCAATAACAAGGATGGACCAAATGAAAAAGCTTTCTTTAAAGTGAGACCTATCAAAGCTCCTGTAAAAAGTGAGACCCACCAAGCCTCCCATAAAAAAGTGAGACCCACCAAGCCTCCCATAAAAAAGTGAGACCTGCCAAGCCTCCCATAAAAAAGTGAGACCCACCAAGCCTCCCATAAAAAAGTGAGACCGCCAAGCCTCCCACAAAAAAGTGAGACCCACCAAGCCTCCCATAATAAAGTGAGACCGCCAAGCCTCCCACAAAAAAGTGAGACCGCCAAGCCCCCCACAAAAAAGTGAGACCGACAAGCCCCCCATAAAAAAGTGAGACCCGCCAAGCCCCCCATAAAAAAGTGAGACCCGCCAAGCCTCCCATAAAAAAGTGAGACCTACCCAGCCTCCCATAAAAAAGTGAGACCTACCCAGCCTCCCATAAAAAAGTGAGACCTACCCAGCCTCCCATAAAAAAGTGAGACCTACCCAGCCTCCCATAAAAAAGTGAGACCTACCCAGCCTCCCATAAAAAAGTGAGACCTACCCAGCCTCCCATAAAAAAGTGAGACCCACCAAGCCTCCCATAAAAAAGTGAGACCCACCCAGCCTCCCATAAAAAAGTGAGACCCACCCAGCCTCCCATAATAAAGTGAGACCCACCAAGCCTCCCATAATAAAGTGAGACCGCCAAGCCTCCCATAATAAAGTGAGACCGCCAAGCCTCCCACAAAAAAGTGAGACCGCCAAGCCCCCCATAAAAAAGTGAGACCCGCCAAGCCTCCCATAAAAAAGTGAGACCCACCAAGCCTCCCATAAAAAAAGTGAGACCCGCCAAGCCTCCCATAAAAAAGTGAGACCTACCCAGCCTCCCATAAAAAAGTGAGACCTACCCAGCCTCCCATTAAAAAGTGAGACCTACCCAGCCTCCCATAAAAAAGTGAGACCTACCCAGCCTCCCATAAAAAAGTGAGACCTACCCAGCCTCCCATAAAAAAGTGAGACCTACCCAGCCTCCCATAAAAAAGTGAGACCTACCCAGCCTCCCATAAAAAAGTGAGACCTACCCAGCCTCCCATAAAAAAGTGAGACCTACTGTGATGACGCAAGATTACGTCAGACATGTTTAGCAGATATAGGTTAGCAGAAACAGACTATAGGCCTAGTTGGTTGGTTAGAGAGGCCAATGGGCGCACAGGGCTGACCGGTCACGTGGGACGGTCAGCTGACCACTGAGGCATGGGTCAGCAGTAGAGCGATAGGCCAGGAGTTGTTAGGTAGCGGTCAGAGACGGCCGAGAATGTAGATAGTTAGGAGATCATGATTAGCTAGCGAAGGTAGAAGGTGTTAGGTTGTAGAATGTAGAGAACAGTTAGTGTTGGGATTGGTCATGGGAGTGCGTAGTAGTACGTAGCATGTGGTATGAACAGTCAGTAGTAGAAGTAAATAGTACAGTGTAGATCAGTTAGGTAGAAACTTGAACATATATATCATTTTAATAAAGAACAATTATAGTTGAACTTGAACTGTGTGTTATTGGATTCATTCATTACGCCTCGTAAAAATCCCCACCCTCACAACTGGTACAACAAGTAGAACCACAAACCAAAGATCTCTTTTCGTACCATCACAACTGGTGGAGCGCGGGTCGAGGACAGGAAAGACAGTACATATCGGTTTACTCATGACGGAGTGTACTGGTGTACAGCTTCCTATAACTCAACACAACAGCGGGTTTCTTCAACCGGAACGAGTGGATTACCAATACAAGGGAACAGTCACCATGTTCAAAAAGATAAGTACCTTCCAACATTTTTTTTTTTAAAAACGTTTGGGTTTAGAGCCGTGCTGGATAGTTGGTACCAGCGGTTTTTCTGCCTCTTCTTATCTGTTTATTCAACCAAACTACCCTTAAAAATGCCTCCATTAAACGAATCAGTCCCTAAAGAGTCAGGCCTAGAAGAGCCAGGTACAATTGATGACTTGTTGCTATACACAAATGTTCAGAATACAGTTAAAATGGAACACAATTCAAGAACTATTGAGGATCCAGATGTTCTAGATGAAGTGATTATTAGGCTTGGACAATAAAAGACAACAGAAAATCGAGACTGGTTATTAACTGTTAAAGAATTTGACGTAAAAACTCTAGATGATCCAGATGCTATGGAAGATTTGATCAATAGAATTGTAGATTACAAGGTAACCAGAGATCCAGATTCCTTGTTGACTGAAGAAGAATATGATGCAAAGAAAGATGCCGAGTTAGCAGAGAAACAAAGAGAAGCAGAAACATATATTGCCGGAATTAAAGAAGAAACAGAAAGAATTCGTAAAGAAATAGAAAAAATGAGAGAACTTCGCCAAGCCAAACAAGAAATGGTGCAAAGTTTAGATACAAATAAAAACAACCAGATAGCATATGCACCAACATATTACTATTCAGATGAATCATCCAGTGAAACAAGCGAGAGATTTTCAAAAGAAAGCGATACAGCTCATTCAGTTCAATATAATACAAGAAACCACAACATACACATGTACTACAGTCAACCAGAAGACTATCACAGTGTCAGATGCTACTATTGTAATAGAACAGGCCACAAACAAATACATTGCAGAATACGATATTATGATAGACGCCAACAAGATGCACAACGCAACAGACCAAAATATAGACAGATTAATAGAATAGCATTTATGTCATCGTTTACAGAAGCCAGTAAAAGAACAGACACATTTACGTCAAAAATTAATAACAGATACGCCACAGCAATTAGGGATACACTATGCTCCACAGTGGCAGTACGTAACACATTCGTACAACATCACCAATACACAGGCAGAACACAACTCATAGAACAGCTACAATGTAACCATCTACCCCATCGGTCTTAGCACATTAACACCATGACCAAGCATTTGACCCGGAACGCCCCCACTAATGATTTGAATAATGAACATAGGACTAAAGTCAAGTCGAGTTGTTTTTTTTCTGTTAATCTAAGTCGCCGAGAAATCGGCATGAAGTCAAAGAAGTTATTTGAAGTCAGTCAAGTCAGTCAATAAGTTATTGAAGTCGTAGTTGAGGTCATAGTGACGTTGTTGAAGTCATGTTGCAGTCAAAGAAAAGTCTTTGAAGTTATATTAAAGTCATTGAGGTCATAGTGAAGAAGTGAAATCGTCGAAGTTATAGTGAAGTCTTGGAAATCAAAGTGATGTCGTTGAAATCATTGAAGCCAAAGTTAAAGTCTTTGAAGTCATATTGAAATTGTTGAAGTCAAAGTGAAGTCTTTGAAGTCATATTGAAGTCGTTGAAGTCAAAGTTAAAGTCTTTGAAGTCATATTGAAATTGTTGAAGTCAAAGTGAAGTCTTTGAAGTCATATTGAAGTCGTTGAAGTCAAGGAAAAGTCTTTGAAGTCAAAGTGAAGACGTTTAAGTCGTCGAAGTTTAAGTCGGTCAGTGAAGTCTTTTAAGTTGAATTGAAGTGAAGTCGTCGAGGTCAAGTTAGTCTTCAAAGTGAAGTTAGTCGTCAAGTTGAAGTAATTAAGTCAGTCGTCAGAGGAAATCAGTCGTTAATTTGAAGTCAGTCAAGTTACTGAAGTCAAAAGTGAAGTCAGTCATTAAGTCAAGCCAGCCAGTTTTTTGTCAGAAGTCAGATAGTGAGAGCTGCTCCACTATATGATCACGTGTTGAAATGGCACGATACACACTCCCATGTCTATTCTTTTTGTGAAGCTATTTCTAAGCTCTAGTAGTGTTTACGTCTATTGAGTTTATTAGGCTTTACAGATTGTTGTTAGATTAGAGTGTACTGATTTTTTTTTATTTGGTTATGTTGTAATGTTATTATTTTATGTTTTTTATGCCGCCAGACAAATGTTCAGCACGTATAAATTTGGGATTGAGGTTTTTTTTTAATGGAAGGTACCTCTGTCTGAATACTTGTCTGCGCGGGCACTAAAGTGGTCACGTTAAACCATTGCTCATAGTCTCGAAATACCATTTTCAGACCCACGCTTACACAGAATGAGACCAGATGAAGCAGACACTTCAAAGAGTGCCGCCACCTGAAGCCCTGATTACGTTGAGTTACCTGGACAGCGAACAGCCCTGCCGAACAGAGAATTGCCCTGGTCAAGATAGCGGACGCATCGCCACCGCTTCGCCCCACCTTGGGGTTGAATAACAGACCGCCAGCTACGTACACCTACGTCGGCACATACAAAGGGTAGAAGACCCGTCGTCCAAGTTCCCAGCGTCGGAATGTTACGTCATTGTTCGCCACGCATCAGACAGCTCCAGTTCATCGTATAACCACTCTACGTGGACGTCTCAACCAGCGTTGAGATGAGATTGTTGCGTCATCACATTGACCAACGAAAGTTACGCCTACACCCGCCTCACGGGAACTTACGTAGACCAACGCCACAACCCACCCACCACAGATGAACGCCAATAATTACATAACACTTACACACACACACACTTACACTGCTCGTTGAGCCCGTTCAACCAGTTACACATCGCTACTAAGATTAGCTCAAGGCCAGTACACGACAACCTAGCCAGAACTGAGTTACACATGATTGAATTCACACATAACATAACATAGACATACATTATCAAGCAGAGACACCACAGACGTCAGGATACCGTACAAGAACTAGAACAATGACATTCCTTTCCAAGAACACAGACAGAAGATTTTATGTTTTTGTAAACTGTGCTGTCCCATTTTGTATTTGATTGATATGATTGATGTTAGGGATAGAATACAGTAGTAAGGTAGATAGTTGTTGATGTATTAGATTAGTAGCAGACGCTGAAAAATATAATTTGTCAGCTACAGAAAGGGAGGGAGATATGTGATGACGCAAGATTACGTCAGACATGTTTAGCAGATATAGGTTAGCAGAAACAGACTATAGGCCTAGTTGGTTGGTTAGAGAGGCCAATGGGCGCACAGGGCTGACCGGTCACGTGGGACGGTCAGCTGACCACTGAGGCATGGGTCAGCAGTAGAGCGATAGGCCAGGAGTTGTTAGGTAGCGGTCAGAGACGGCCGAGAATGTAGATAGTTAGGAGATCATGATTAGCTAGCGAAGGTAGAAGGTGTTAGGTTGTAGAATGTAGAGAACAGTTAGTGTTGGGATTGGTCATGGGAGTGCGTAGTAGTACGTAGCATGTGGTATGAACAGTCAGTAGTAGAAGTAAATAGTACAGTGTAGATCAGTTAGGTAGAAACTTGAACATATATATCATTTTAATAAAGAACAATTATAGTTGAACTTGAACTGTGTGTTATTGGATTCATTCGTTCCGCCTTCTTAAAAATCCCCACCCTCACAACTGGTGCAACAAGAAGGACTTCTAACAAAGATTCCCTTTCGTACCATCACACCTACCCAGCCTCCCATAAAAAAGTGAGACCTACCTAGCCTCCCATAGAAAAGTGAGACCGCCAAGCCTCCCATTTAAAAAGTGAGACCTACCAAGCCTCCCATAAAGAAGTGAGACCCGCCAAGCCTCCCATTAAAAAAGTGAGACCTACCCAGCCTCCCATAAAAAAGTGAGACCGCCAAGCCTCCCATTTAAAAAGTGAGACCCACCAAGCCTCCCATAAAGAAGTGAGACCCGCCAAGCCTCCCATTAAAAAAGTGAGACCTACTGCTTGTCTTTGTGGTTCCCCACCAGGTTGCGACAGAGCTCACTGAAGCCCGCAGAGATCTTGATGCTGGACACAATGACACAGATCAACATCCCAAAATAGACCAGCAGGACAGGAAGTTGGAGCTTGACCTCTGACCTGAAACAGCATCTCACTATATCTTGCCTTCACTTCAAAGGTAACCACATAACAAAGTAACCATGTAACAAAGTAACAAAGTAACCATGTAACAAAGTAAAACTTACTGTTCTGTTGTGTCACTGTTCTGTGTGTGTAAGAAGAACCAAAGAAAGATTACGCTGACTATGGCCACAACGACATTGAGGAAGGTGGTGAAGTAGCACTGGTTGACGTCACCAAACTTGGTCTCAGACAGGTCCATTGTGACATCAGTACTGTTCTTCCTGGGGGGGAGGGGGGGGGGGTTGTTTACACGATGTGTTATTCTGTCCTTGATGAATGGTGTTGCATACTACTTTAGGTAAAAAGTCTTTCTGTCCATTCAAATGTCCTATCCACTACAGATAAATGTCCTACTGCCAACAGCAGGTAAATGTCCTACTGCCTACAGCAGGTAAATGTCCTACTCACCACAGCAGATAAATGTCCTACTGCCTACAGCAGGTAAATGTCCTACTGCCTACAGCAGGTAAATGTCCTACTGCCTACAGCAGGTAAATGTCCTACTGCCTACAGCAGGTAAATGTCCTACTGCCTACAGCAGGTAAATGTCCTACTGCCTACAGCAGGTAAATGTCCTACTGCCTACAGCAGGTAAATGTCCTACAGCAGGTAAATGTCCTACTGCCTACAGCAGGTAAATGTCCTACTGCCTACAGCAGGTAAATGTCCTACAGCAGGTAAATGTCCTACTGCCTACAGCAGGTAAATGTCCTACTCACCACAGCACCACTGTCCTACTCACCACTGGAGGTAGATGTTGGAGTAGAGGACACACTGGTCCTCAAAGACCTGGTCAGTGAGGGCGCGGGGGAAGAAGACCATGCCAGACAAGACGATGCTGAGACTGATGAGAAAAATCTGGACCAGGTTCAGGTGGGAGATGACCTTCTGACCCAACATCTTCAGCAAGTGGACACCTTTCTGGGGAGGTCATTCAATACAATTAAGACACCTTTCTGGGGAGTTCATTCAATACAATTAAGACACCTTTCTGGGGAGGTCATTCAATACAATTAAGACACCTTTCTGGGGAGGACATTCAATACAATTAAGACACCTTTCTGGGGAGGTCATTGAATACAAGTAAGACACCTTTCTGGGGAGGTCATTCAATACAATTAAGACACCTTTCTGGGGAGGTCATTCAATACAATCAAGACACCTTTCTGGGGAGGTCATTCAATACAATTAAGACACCTTTCTGGGGAGGTCATTCAATACAATCAAGACACCTTTCTGGGGAGGTCATTCAATACAATTAAGACACCTTTCTGGGGAGGTCCTCAATACAAGTAAGACACCTTTCTGGGGAGGTCATTCAATACAAGTAAGACACCTTTCTGGGGAGGTCATTCAATACAATTAAGACACCTGTCTGGGGAGGTCATTCAATACAAGTAAGACACCTTTCTGGGGAGGTCATTCAATACAATTAAGACACCTGTCTGGGGAGGTCATTCAATACAAGTAAGACACCTTTCTGGGGAGGTCATTCAATACAATTAAGACACCTTTCTGGGGAGGTCATTCAATACAATTAAGACACCTGTCTGGGGAGGTCATTCAATACAATTAAGACACCTTTCTGGGGAGGTGATTCAATACACACAATAGGTTTTTTAAATGTTCACAGACAATGTCACAATCATTCTGAAAATAGTCAAGAGAACTTGTCAGCATATAAAAAACCTGCTGCTGAAGAGATTCAAGGACAAAAGATGTGACAATTATTACATGACATGGCGTCATATGACTAGAAAATTTTTAAAATGAGTGCTACATTAAGCCGATCATGTTTTATTTTAATATTGAAAAGTAGTAACTTAAGATACATGGCGTGAGTGAATGTGTGGGGTGAGTGAATGTGTGGGGTGAGTTGTAAAGCAACTACATGAACAATTTTAATTAATTACTATGTAAATCGGAATGATCACCAAAAATGAATAAAAAAAAATGAGAGAAACAATTTAATTTTAATTAGCAAAATTTCAAAAAAGATCGTAACAAGAAAAGATTGTAACAAGAAGTTCGCAACAACAAAAAATCTGAACAAGAAGATGATGTCAACAAAAGATGACAACCTAAAAATGAACCTTAACACAAACCTGATCAGGACAAGAACAAGGCAAGGAGCAGCACTGGAGGCTACAACAGAACCTCTGACACCAGACAGCTGACAGCTCTAGACACGCACTTTTCTTCTTCTGTCTCGGCTTGCTCAATGAGCGGAACAGCATGGCTGTGTCGTGCTCAAAGCGCTCACTTCTGTGGTTTACAATACTGCTGCTCTCCTCGAAGTCCCTGAAGCCCAGGTTAGTGCTGGAGGTCACAGAACTGACATCCAAGCTCTGCTGTCTGGGCAGCATGGCATCAACGCTGTCATTCCTCTCACTGCCATGCACAGATCTATTGAAGCTGGTTTCCAAAAGTTTTGGGTGCTTTGTAAGAAAATTTTTGTGGCGTTTTCGCCAAAACCATTTTTTAGTTGAGTTTTGTCTAAAAGTTAAGTCTGGCCCATATTCTTCATCCAAATCAGGTCGAACAGATGAGTCCGTAACACCGCTCCAAGCATTTTCATCTATTTCAAAATAGACACTACCCCCAGGGTCGTCAACTCTTGAACTTGCCCTGGGGTCGTGAACTCTTGAACTTGCCCCGGGGTCGTAGACCTTAATATTGGGCACCAGAGGGAAGCCTTGCTGTACAGTCCATGCTGACTCATCCACAGGGAAACTCTGCTCACCATGAGCTACAGGTGGCGCCACAGGGAAACTCTGCTCACCATGAGCTACAGGTGGCGCCACAGGGAAACTCTGCTCACCATGAGCTACAGGTGGCGCCACTGAGCCCACCCAAGCATCTTCCCTCACAGAGAACAAAGGGAGAGAACTGACTGTGTGGATTGGCACCAGAGGTATGGATTCAGATAATTGCCCCTCCTCATCGGTCATGGTGTTCTCTGTTCATCTGCTGGCTAGTCCCTTACTAATGTCATTTACTTGACCTATTCAGCTGGAGAACATTCACAAGCTGGATAATGCACAATGACATTTTCCCATGAATCAATCACATTTTATATATTTTAAAAATTTATTAAACCATTTCTAGTAGGAACAAAATATCTTATAATTATTTTTTTTTAAATTATGAGGTTCTGATAAGATAGGCAACAAGGTATTACAGTAATCAATAAATAGCTAAATGAGTCAGCAGTCACTGTAGGTCACTACTTAGGTCAGTACTTAGGTCACTACTTAGGTCAGTACTTAGGTCAGTACTTAGGTCACTACTTAGGTCAGTACCTAGGTCAGTACTTAGGTCAGTACTTAGGTCAGTACTTAGGTCAGTACTTAGGTCACTACTTAGGTCAGTACTTAAGTGTTACAAAAGATGTGCTGTCAGCCAATTGAATCATCAGATAAAAATAGAAACAGCCAACCAAACCATCAGATAAAAATAGAAACAGCCAACCAAACCATCAGAAGGCTGCATGATACTTGTAGTGTAAACTTTAGCAGACAACTGGGTAGAAATAAACCTGTCTATAAAATGGAATTCAAACTTTGAAGCAGCAAAGAGAGGTGTGCTACCACATCTGTATGCTGACACCTGTAATATTTACTGACCCTCAAGATAGCTGGCACACCTGCCCTACTTAACACACTGCTGGCCAGCAACAAGATAAGGTCTACTTTAAGGTCTACTTTAAGATCTACTTTAAGGTCTACTTGAAGGTCTACTTTAAGGTCTACTTGAAGGTCTACTTGAAGGTCTACTTTAAGGTCTACTTTAAGGTCTACTTTAAGGTCTACTTACAAATATTCTGGAGATTTTAATCAGGCCAAAGACCTAGATGCGCTAAGGCTATCTTTGATTTGTTTGTAGCTAGAACTTTTCCATGCCACTAAAGTTTGATCTGTTGTTACTACGTGCTCAACTATCACAAAGATAAGTCAGTCAGTCAGTCATGTGACTTGTCTGGTAAATAAGGTTGTGTTTACCAAAACAAACTAGACGGACAGAATGTCTAAAGGAAGGCTGAGTGTAGAGTGCATGTGATTTTATTTGCTGATGACAGAGCTAAGTTTAGTTCCTCACCCACAGAGAGAATCATTTAGGAATTGGTCATAGGTCATGGGGTGCTAGAGTTCAATAGGTCACTGGGAGTTGTGTGTGGTTCAAGGACAGAGCAAACACAACCAAATAAAAGCTGACAATTCTTTCATTCAAAGTACTCTACAAGCACACATTTGACTCTTAGATTGGGGGGGGGGGGGGGGGGGAGAGAAAGAAGCAACTGTAAACAAGTTTCTAAAACTAATTGAAGTTCAGTTTAGAACTAACAGAGTTCATCCATTATCTTTATATAAGATACAACTATCTCAGTCAAGTCTCAGTCAATTCAAAACACTTTAGTGGTGACAAAACCCAAGAGAATGGGTTCAACAGTGTGTAAACTGTGTCATGACACACATTTCATTGGACTAGGGTGTGCAGTGTAGTCTACCAGTACAGAACAAAGGCAAAGGCCACTAAAAAAAAAAGACATGATAACAGATAAAGAAATTAGATGCTATTTAATTTATTTTTAATTGGGGGGGGGGGGGGGGGCTTAACCTATATAAGAAAACATTACCCTTTGCTACTGTAAAAAGTAAACAACACACCTAACACACATACAGTAGACCTAGTACTAGCTAGTAGGTCTAGTCTACTTACTACTGTATTAGAACTATATTCTAGTCCATATTAACCTATACGAATAAGATTTATATAATGTAATTCTTTTTTTATGATCACTACTCTCAACAAGAGGACACACTAGATCTAGACCACTAGAAAATCTAGAAAGCATAGAAAACATTACATTCCAAACACTACAACGTCCACACTACACCAGGTGGTACACAGTGACCTCAGTACAGTACACACCACATGACTTCACGGCTAAATTTACTAGAGAGCTAAATCTATTCATTTAAGATAGATCTAGAATCTAATTACTAATTAGACTAATTCAGACAGAAAAGTTACCAACCGGACGAAAGAAAGCAAACAAGGGCCATAAGACTATAATAAATATTAAATGATAGAATACTAATACTAGTGAAGGCCTAATAAAAAACAAGTTAATTAAAAAAGTCTAGTGACATTTGTGCGCAATTTCCTTATGTTATCTAAAAATAGCTCTGACGTATAATGTTGGGGTGCGTTCAAGCTAGAAGAACAATCGGTTTGTAGGTGTTTATGTAATTTTAAAATTTGTGACCGAACGAGAGAATATTTTTGAAAACTTTCTTCGGCAATATTGTTCTAAATTATGACAGGAATCGATTGGTACATGTTTCAAGTCGCTAAGTGGTCTGGTTGCCGAGATATGGGCCAAAAACTGAATTTTTTCGAGGTTTTTTGGCTTTTCCGGGAAATACATGAAAGAAACCCGGAATTTTTATGGCCTATGCTCATTCTCGTAACTTGCTTAACATAATTGCTTTTGGAACTATTCATCGATATTGCTTCGTTGAGGAGGAGATACGACTTAAAGCCCGGACACACATTCATCCATCCATCCATCCATTCCCAGAAATGACGAGTTAATAAACGCAATTCTCCAGAATGGAAATTGCGCTAAAAAGTAATAAAATAGATCTAGATCTAGAAATAATTTTAATAATAATAGACATAACGCAGTTTCAGTTACTATCTGCTCTAACTTTAACTAATCAAGAAGCCACATCCACTATACGACAATTTTCACAATTCGGCGAATTAAAACCAGAAACCGCCTTAGATCTAGATCTATCTATCTAGATCTAGAGATCTAGATCTAGAAATCTAGGTTATTCTTGGTTGGGATGGGACGATCAGCTGAGCCTGCAACTTTTCTGCGCCGTTTGTAAACAGTAAAATAAAAACGGGATAAGTCACAAACAAATTAATATTGTCAAGCTTGTGAGCTCACACATTACATCTACATTTCCCATACAATCTAACGCGAGATATGGAAATCCAAAACATTGAATGTCACAATTTGGATGTTTAAGTCCATTGTTGTTACTAGAAGAACACACTTGTTGCAGAGTGTGTGAAAACCGTAAACGTGTTTACCCGCGGGTTCGTCAAGGGGATGTACTGTGAAATGTAACATGGGCTAAAAAGTAGGACAGATAAATCGATTACATCCCTTGTCTTACAGTCTTCATTTAATTTTGAAAAGCATTAGTAATAATATATTTAATTACAATGGATCATAAAAACGTATTAATAAAGTAAAAGCTTTTTTTTAGAATTGCAATTACACAATATTAAAAAATATTTTTTTACTTAGATCTAGATCGAAAAAAGTAATATTTTGACAAAAATTTAGGGGGAAAAATCTACACATTTCCAACATTTTAACTTTCTTATTTTTTACACCAACAAACTTATTTTATTTGTATCAATAAATTGGATGTAGACATACACTTGACACTGTATCAATATATTGAATGTTGGAGCACTGTATCAGTATGTTGAAATAGAACTGGTGTATCAGTGTGATTTAAGATAAGAGTAAGAGACGTGGGCAGTCATGTTTTTTTTCTTCCATTCAAAGTTTGGCTGTGCTGGGTTGTGTAAAAAAAAAAAAAACAAGATTGCCTGTGTAAGGATCAGACCACTGAGAGGATTGGGTTTCTTGGCGCAGGAAGGTGTGTTGGTGTGCTACTGCATAATGGTGTGTAGCCAGGATGTAGACCACTCGGGGTGTGCTGTGTGTAGTTTGTCCGAGTAACGTGTGTGGCAGACGTGTGAGATACCCTCTATTTCTACCACTTCTAGCTCTACCCCCCCCCCACCCCCCCCCCCCCCCCTTTTAAACCTTTGGCCGAAGCAACCATTTGCCATTATAAAATATTCAGTTGTTTTATTCCTACTTGGGTCACATCTGTATGTTGAAATAAAACTATTGTATCAACAGTGTTTATTTCAGACCTTTTCTACGGGGGGGGGGGGGGGGCACTTGGTAAAAGTATGTTTTCTTTATAAATTCCATTTCGTTTGGGGGGGGGGCTTTAGAGTTTCTTCGCCCCCCCCCCCCCCTAAGAGATGCCTGGAAGAAACTGTATATCAGAATATTAGGGGGGGAGGGAAGGGCACAGAGTAAAGACACCCTCCACCACTATGTGATACACCCTCCACCACTATGTGATACACCCTCCACCACTATGTGATACACCCTCCACCACTATGTGATACACCCTCCACCACTATGTGATACACCCTCCACCACTATGTGATACACCCTCCACCACTATGTGATACACCCTCCACCACTATGTGATACACCCTCCACCACTATGTGATACACCCTCCACCACTATGTGATACACCCTCCACCAACCCTCCACCCACCAACACTGTATTTATTCTCGGATAATTTTAAGCCGACATTTTGCAGCCGACTGATGAATTCATTAACATTTACCAGGACGGATTATTAATGAGCACACCTCAATACCAATATAGCAGAGAGTAGCTGCCCTTATATCAACTTCACTAGAGAGAAGCTGCCTTTATATCAACTTCACAAGAGTAGCTGCCCTTATATCAACTTCACTAGAGTAGCTGCCCTTATATCAACTTCACTAGAGAGTAGCTGCCCTTATATCAACTTCACTAGAGTAGCTGCCCTTATATCAACTTCACTAGAGTAGCTTCCCTTATATCAACTTCACTAGAGTAGCTGCCTTTATATCAACATCACTATAGTAGCTGCCCTTATATCAACTTCACTAGAGAGTAGCTGTCCTTATATCAACTTCACTAGAGTAGCTTCCCTTATATCAACTTCACTAGAGTAGCTGCCCTTATATCAACTTAACTAGAGAGTAGCTGCCCTTATATCAACTTCACTAGAGTAGCTGCCCTTATATCAACATCACTATAGTAGCTGCCCTTATATCAACTTCACTAGAGAGTAGCTGTCCTTATATCAACTTCACTAGAGTAGCTTCCCTTATATCAACTTCACTAGAGTAGCTGCCCTTATATCAACATCACTATAGTAGCTGCCCTTATATCAACTTCACTAGAGAGTAGCTGTCCTTATATCAACTTCACTAGAGTAGCTTCCCTTATATCAACTTCACTAGAGTAGCTGCCCTTATATCAACTTCACTAGAGAGTAGCTACCCTTATATCAACTTCACTAGAGTAGCTTCCCTTATATCAACTTCACTAGAGTAGCTGCCCTTATATCAACTTCACTAGAGTAGCTTCCCTTATATCAACTTCACTAGAGTAGCTTCCCTTATATCAACTTCACTAGAGTAGCTGCCCTTATATCAACTTCACTAGAGTAGCTGCCCTTATATCAACATCACTATAGTAGCTGCCCTTATATCAACTTCACTAGAGAGTAGCTGTCCTTATATCAACTTCACTAGAGTAGCTTCCCTTATATCAACTTCACTAGAGTAGCTGCCCTTATATCAACTTCACTAGAGAGTAGCTGCCCTTATATCAACTTCACTAGAGTAGCTGCCCTTATATCAACTTCACTAGAGTAGCTTCCCTTATATCAACTTCACTAGAGTAGCTTCCCTTATATCAACTTCACTAGAGTAGCTGCCCTTATATCAACTTCACTAGAGTAGCTGCCCTTATATCAACATCACTATAGTAGCTGCCCTTATATCAACTTCACTAGAGAGTAGCTGTCCTTATATCAACTTCACTAGAGTAGCTTCCCTTATATCAACTTCACTAGAGTAGCTGCCCTTATATCAACTTCACTAGAGAGTAGCTGCCCTTATATCAACTTCACTAGAGTAGCTGCCCTTATATCAACTGCACTAGAGTAGCTGCCCTTATATCAACTTCACTAGAGTAGCTGCCCTTATATCAGCTTCACTAGAGAGTAGCTGCCCTTATATCAACTTCACAAGAGAGTAGCTTCCCTTATATCAACTTCACTAGAGTAGCTTCCCTTATATCAACTTCACTAGAGTAGCTGCCCTTATATCAACATCACTATAGTAGCTGCCCTTATATCAACTTCACTAGAGAGTAGCTGTCCTTATATCAACTTCACTAGAGTAGCTTCCCTTATATCAACTTCACTAGAGAAGCTGCCCTTATATCAATTTCACTAGAGAGTAGCTGCCCTTATATCAACTTCACTAGAGAGTAGCTGCCCTTATGTCAACTTCACTAGAGTGAAGCTGCCCTTATATCGACTTCACTAGAGAGTAGCTGCCCGTATATCAATTTCACAAGAGTAGCTTCCTTATATTAACTTCACTAGACTAGCTGCCCTTATATCAACTTCACTAGAGTAGCTTCCTTATATCAACTTCACTAGAGAGTAGCTGCCCTTATATCAACTTCACTAGAGAGTAGCTGCCTTTATATCAACTTCACTAGAATAGCTGCCCTTATATCAACTTCACTAGAGTAGCTGCCCTTATATCAACTTCACTAGAGAGTAGCTGCCCTTATATTAACTTCACTAGACTAGCTGCCCTTATATCAACTTCACTAGAGTAGCTGCCCTTATATCAACTTCACTAGAGAGAAGCTGCCCTTATATCAACTTCACTAGAGAGCAGCTGCCCTTATATCAACTTCACTAGAGTAGCTTCCCTTATATCAACATCACTAGAGTAGCTGTCCTTATATCAACTTCACTAGAGTAGCTGCCCTTATATCAACATCACTATAGTAGCTTACCTTATATCAACTTCACTAGAGTAGCTGCCCTTATATCAACTTCACTAGAGTAGCTGCCCTTATATCAACTTCACTAGAGAGTAGCTGCCCTTATATCAACTTCACTAGAGAGTAGCTGCCCATTTTAAAGATTTAAATCACATCCTCCCTTACACAAGACTTTATATCTTGAACTCACATCTTTCTTTATACCAGATTTCAAATCTTTATAACTCACATTGTCTCACGTCCACTAATAAATGCCTACGACCATTCTAAGGAAAGTGACGCCTTTTTCGGAGATTAATTAAATACTATTTAAAACAAGTTTCATAAATTAAATTAAAAAACAAACAAACGGCAAACAGACTACGAAATTAAAATAATTTAGTTGAGATAATTAACCTGCTATTTAAAAGTGTTCAATATATTTTACTAACTGTAACTCCATGACTAAATCTACAGTGGTAACACCATACACTAAATCTACAGTGGTGACCCACACAAATCTACAGTGGTGACCCATTGACTAAATCTACAGTGGTGACTCCATTGACTAAATCTACAGTGGTGACTCCATTGACTTTATCTACAGTGGTGACTCCATTGACTAAATCTACAGTGGTGACTCCATACACTAAATCTACAGTGGTGACCCATTGACTAAATCTACAGTGGTGACCCATTGACTAAATCTACAGTGGTGACTCCATTGACTAAATCTACAGTGGTGACTCCATTGACTTTATCTACAGTGGTGACTCCATTGACTTTATCTACAGTGGTGACTCCATTGACTAAATCTACAGTGGTGACTCCATTGACTAAATCTACAGTGGTGACCCATTGACTAAATCTACAGTGGTGACTCCATTGACTAAATCTACAGTGGTGACTCCATTGACTAAATCTACAGTGGTGACTCCATACTAACCCACCGGCTGGGTAGGTTCAGTTGTCACTTCATGATTTTAATCAGACCATCGGAAAGTGAAATTCGCCAACCTTCGTGAGTTCAGCTCAAACTGTTAGATACGTGTATTTGTACGGCCTTTCTGGTTGTGTCCGACTTAAACGTCCGGCCTGTAGATCTAGATTGTGTCCGACTTAAGCCTAAATTATATCTAGTTGTAGATTCTTGTACGGCGTTTAATGTTCGGCTTATATATTGTGTCCGTCTTTAAACCAACATTTGCCGTGTGTCCGGCTGTTAGTTAACGTCCGGCTAGGATTGTGTTGAAAGAGCGAAAATTGTGACTTACCGTGTCTGGTGAAATGTTTGTCATTTTGTAACAGACATGAGTCGTCTGCTAGCCCTGACTGATCTCGATGTGTTATTGATAAGAGATTATCAGAAAAAAAACCGATTGAGGTCATGTTTCTATCCTGTGTACAGCCGTCACACACAACTAACCACGCAACACCCCTCCACCCC